TTTCTAGGTGTTAGTGTCTTCCCGTTCCTCGCGTCCATGATTAAAAGATCCGGCCCACAGATGTGGCTGAGCAATTTAGTCCTCCTTGTGCATACCCCAGCCATACAATGTGTCCGGACATCAGATTCCCGCGCTAATTTCTTAATCATACACTGGATTGCATCTACGTTGATATTAAGCATGTCTCGATTTCCCTTTTTCTCTTCTGTGTCTGGCCCTGTCTCTCACGCACACACTCACACACATAGACACACACACACTTTGCTGAAATCTGTTGTGATCCATCTATTGGAAACATCTCTTTATATGTGCACCTTCCCTCTTGCTTTGGAGCCACCCTCCGAGCAAAAAGTGTGTTTTGGGGCGGGGGGGCACGGGAGGTCTGTTATCTGCCTGGGGAGAACTCTAAGTGAGCATTTTCCCTGTGAGGAGGTCAGAGGGAGGAAAGAAGGTGTGTGGCTGGTACTCGAAGGCCGAGGTTGGGGGGAGGGGCGTGTTCAGAAGCTCTAGGTCAGCGGTTCTCAACCTGTGGGTCGCGACCCCTTTGGGGGTCGAACGACCCTTTCACAGGGGTCACCTAAGACCATCGGAAAACACATATATAATTACATACTGTTTTTGTGATTAATCACTATGCTTTAATTATGTTCAATTTGTAACAATGAAATTGGGGGTCACCACAACATGAGGAACTGTATGAAAGGGTCGCGGCATTAGGAAGGTTGAGAACCACTGCTCTAGGTGCTTCCCCTGGCATCCTTCACCTTCCATGGCTGCCTTGACCCTCACTGTGTTTTCGTGGGCTCCACCGGACAGTTGAGGAGACGAGGCCTACAGAGGTCAGGACAGGCTCAGGTCAGTGTACCCCGAAATTCCCAGCTCCTAACATCCTTGCTGGCTGCCAGCCGTTTCAAGGACAGACACTAAGAGCACCTACTGTGTGCGGTGGGTGGGAGTTCTGGGAGATGAGCCAGCGCCAGGGTCCTTCAATGAACTTACCAGCAAATAGGAGAGACAGGGAGGGAGGTGCCTGTGGGGTTCTGCAGAGGAGCCACACCCTGTCAGGAGCTGGAGAAGACATCCGAGGGTCCGGCCTGGACCCGGACTGAGGTGAGGGAACCCACCTTTCATGCTGTTTAGCAAATGGGGAGTCAGGGGTCCAGAGATGGAGAGGACTTGCCAGGGCCCCACAGACAGACAGCAGGGCTGGGGCAGGGTCTAGGTCTTGGGCAGGGTCTAGGTCTCCTGTTTGACCTTGGCCAGAATTGTCTTGGCCCCAGATGCACAGACCCATCTGGGGCGCCCAGGGTCCCAGCAGCAGCTGTGAAGGGACAGCCCATAGCCCAGGAAGGCGCTGGCCTGGGTGGGCCTTGCTCAGGTGGCTGCGGCCCAGGGTGAGCAGAGCCCCATGGAATAGCCCAGAGACCACATGGGCCGGCCAAGGCCACTGACCCCCAAGTTCCCCTCTCTCTGGTCCCCTCCAGGATTCAGAGGTAGAGTTCAAGGGCTCCGCAGGCAGGAATGGGTGGGAGGTGGGGGCTGAAATGGCTTGGGACATCTCTAGTCACAGGTGTTGATGGCAGCAGGATGCGGGGTGTGCTCCAAGCCCCCCGTAGCTGTGGCTGGGAGGGGCAGCAAGGCTCCTCGGGGACCAGCGAACAGGGATTTTCACACCTAGGTGAGCCAGCAGCTAGCTGGCCTCTGGCCAGTCCTGCCCCCATCAGGCATTATGGACACAG